CTTGTTCCGATTTCCACAGCTGTAAAGCAGTCTAGAAAATGGCTCTTGTCTGTGTCATAACATTATGGTTTAGAACAGGTGAGACAACTAAACCAGACTCCTACAGACAAGGCAACTGAGTTAGGTGACAACTCTAAGAAGGTATCGAGGAAACCACCAACTTGAGAAACTGATCACTCCAGGTGTTGTTGCTTAACAATTCTGTTGCTAAGAGTTCATTCTTCAGAATTGACTCGTAAATATACCTATAAACTGATTAGCCACAAAGGAAAAAATACATTTAGTTCTATGTAAAACCAAAATACTTTAATACATTGGAGATGGAATAGTTACTTAGCTGCAAAAGTTCTGACATTGTTACTTGACATTAAATATTATGCTTTATTTCCCACATCTTAAATACCAGCAAGGGCACCAACAGCCACTATCACATGATGAACTCTATCATCAATTTCTCTATGTAATTTTTCAAAGTCGATTTTACGAAAACTGTATCAACCTCGGGCTGAGTTAGACAGAAAGTTTGTGGTTTGGGTTTTTTCTGTTTTTAACTGAATCTACCATCACAGCAAATTTCTTTAGAATCATTTGTCAAAAATACCTTTTAGAGATGTTTTTAGCACATCAGAAAAACTGCACTGAAAATGAGAAATATTTAAGAAAAGCCTATACAACTGAAATCATGTATTTGCTCATTATCAGAATTTATGAATACCAGATTGCAGTTACAAACTACACTTTTTGGCACATACTTAGCTCACTATCATTCAGCTGTTGAACCACAGATCCAGCTTGCATCACCTAAGAGGATTAATGCACAGGCAGGTTATTACAGCTTAAAGCTCATATACCGAACTTGCTTCTTCTTAATGTTTTGAGTTTCTATGCATCCTTCTTTTCCTGGAAAACAGCTACATGGCTTATTGGAAGTTCTACTCAAAAATGCAGTCTTTTTTCTTTGTTTACTTCCTATCACAGTGGTAATATATAACCTATAAAGGGGACTAAAGTTTAAAGTGCACTGCATGCAACAATCTAGTTCTCCTATATCTTTTTATGTCCCGTATTTATCAAGCTTCCACACTCTCACTATGCATAAGAAAACATATTTGTCAATTAATAGATATTATAAATGGTACTTGTATATTCCTCTTCTACCACTGTGAGCAAGCATTACTGAGCTGAAAGGAGGGATCAGTTCACTTACCACTGAACTGCAAACACTCTTCAGAATTTCTCTGCCAGAAAAGCTAAGACACCTTTTAGGACAAGGAATTAAGAATTTTACTAATGTAATTAATTTAGATCTATCTGAAACAAGACACTCTTACATCCCTTGGTTTATACTAGCCAAGCGGTATGATGTACACTAACAGTTCACAACATATACTGCTTATCATGCAATTTTAGATCATCCAAAACATTCAATGACATGTTCATGGAAGGTGATTTTCTATAAAAGCTTGTGTTGTTATAATGGAAGCTTTCAACTTCACTGGAAGGAATAAAAGTATTAAGATGAATACCGCTCACATCAACTTTGGCTAACTACTCTGTTCTGTACTTGCAAGAAACAAGCCACACAAAGGACTCCCATTTACAAAATAAACCCTAGTGATGCAAATTTTGATCTTTGTGTCATATTCTCTTTTCCAATCAGAAAAAGTCTCAGAGAACACAAGACTTAAGACTGTTTAAAGTATTTCTAAATGTAAATTTCAACAGGCAATTTTAAAGATTTTTTTGATATAGTTTCATTATCCTATTTGGAACTACCATCGGTTCTGTATACAGTTTTCAGATCAGGACCTAAAATTCTGTTTACTGGATACATTTCTTTATCAGATTTGACTGCAAGATCATCTTCCCCAGCACTACCTTTTTAAAACTATTAAAAAAAATCTGTAAAAGCCATGAAACACAATATTGCGCAGTGTTCAGATCCTTACAGTATGATTTCTTTTCCCAAAATCGCAAAAAAAATTAAGAAGTGGTTTAAGTGTTTTCCCCAGGCAATACATTCCTCTTTCCTAACTGAAATATTAATACATGTCATGCTTTATCAAAGAAATCTTGATTCTGCACTACGTAAGTATTTTAGGGTACAATCATCTGTAACAATTATTTAGGTTGGAGGACATTGTTGGTAGGGTGTCTTTTTGCTTGTTTATTCCAAATGAATACTGTTTGACTGCAACTAAAAGCTAGTACAGACACAGGAGAATTCCCACCTTTCCAAGCAAGTTTTACCAGCAAATAGATCTCAAATGCTCTCCGTGAGACTGTTACTCTGACTGAATGCACGGCATACCACCTTTCCATTAACAGCGTATTTCTGAGATGCGGATCTGGCTAAGTCTAAATATTGTTCAGGAGAGGAGAAGAAAGATTTTCAGCTTCACCTCATCTCCAGTACATACTGTCAAAGTAAAATAATTAAAGATGAGACTGTCATCCACATAAAGTTATTTAACTTCAGGGTAAAGCTATGTTTAGACAATGGGAACAGCTTAACAATTAATTACAGAATTATTTTTTATTATTAAAGAGTTCTGCTTCTACATTCCCTTAATCTTTGGAAATACATCTTCATATTCTACTACATAGGCACAGAAAGAAGAGAATACAAAAGCTATCCACAAATTTACCCACAAATACCACAGACTTTGGGGATGGGGGGAAGGCAAGTTTCTGCCTTTTCTGCGTCTTCAAACCTCCTTGGCTCTTCCTAGCTGAGGAATCTGAATTATCCAAGACCCTTGGAAGGAAATATTTTTAAATTGTCAGTAAGTACCCAAAGTGGGTTTGATTTGAAGTTAATATTCTTGCTCTCAAGAGCAACAGAGGACAAGAAATGGTACTCCTTACAAAATTTTTACTGCTAATGAAGAAAATGCAGAAGTCAGAAAATACAGCTGACAGTCCATGGCAGCACTGACACTTTGTGGAGGTAAGGGGAAACAAATCCATCACTTCAGATACAAACAAGAACCAGATTGGTAACTCTGAAAGTTGCACAGAGAAATTCAATTATTGTTTAAAGAGAATCACAGTTAAGAACAAAAAAAGAAAGAAAAAAAGGAAAAGAAGAATAAGACAACTGACAGCAGACTAGGCAAAATTCATGGGAATTTGCTTCAGTTCCACACTGCTTACAAGTAATGAATGCATAGCCAAGGGGCACACCTGCCCCACAGCACAGCCTCTGACATGTTTACTACAGATGTCCTGTATTCCAGTTCATCCCTCTCACCACCAGAATCATCCACAAACCCAGCTCTCCCCAGTTCCAGCACTCAGATGACTACTATTGCCTTGCATAACAGCTTTCTAGGTCTGATTTCAAGCCACACTCATGCTGCATAGACTAAAAAAGAACAGTTAGCTGCTTTGCTCATACTTGAGCCTTTTCCTCAGTGACGGCATTAACTTGGGGTTCTCCTCTTTATCAGAACACACAGGAATTTAGTGACTGATAACACTAAACTTTTGTTAAACTTCGATGAATTTGAATAAACAGCTTAAAAAACCCAAACAAAACTGATAGAAAGGTTTATGATCACACAGTCTTTTCTTTATCTCTTTCTTAAGAACAGCACTACTTTTAGTTTCATTTCCTAAGGGTTTTTTTCTTTATTGGTATATTCCATGCAGGCACACGTGACTTCTGCCCACCCTAAGCCCTCAAGTTAAAAGTCCTAAGGCGAATACGACTATGTACAAAGTAACTCACTTTATAAAAGTTCGTTAGCATCAGCAATAATAGTAATACAATAGTATTGACCAACAAGCATTCAGTATCTTATAGATTTACATAGCAATGCTACAAAACACCTACAAAAATTGAGCATTCCTCTGAAGTTCTGGCTATCAATATAATGGAAAATAAACATCTTTCTAGACTGTTAAAAAAAGTAAAAAGCTTTGAGTCATTCCTTGCCAAGATTTTCTTTGTGTAACAAAATACATTCTCACTCAGCATTAAATTTTCAAGATTTTTTTTACATTTTAATATGTAATTCTAGCAGGTTTTTTTGGGGGGGAGAGATTGTGGTTGTTTTTTTTAACATGGTCTTCAGTTTTAAGTCACTATTTTAAACAGAATAAATAGTCAGTAGATCAGATAGAAAACTATTTGTCAAGAATGAATTGCAAAGTAAATTATCTTTCCATTGATAGCCCACAGGGCTATTTTTTTGCCACTTGTTCAAAAGGTTTTATTTAATCATACATACAGAGAGCACATATTACATTGCCAAAGCTGGTGGTTCACATATGGACAGGGAAAAAAAGGAATAAACTCTCAAGAGGCCATTTGTTTGCATAAATTAACTTCTGAGCAATTAAAGGGCCCAAAACTGTGCTCATTTTCACCTAAAAAGTAAGGTGAATTCCTAGCATCAGCAGCTACACTAAGTCCCACTGTCAACTAGAATAAAACATGGCACAAAAGCATTAAATACATCACATGAACTCAGATTTCAAGATAAAGGATCTTTCTGAACTTGGCTCACAGCAGTCTAAAACAGCAGTGCATGGATAAAAGCTTTAGACTTTCAAAGTATTAAAATCAGAACTCAGAAAACATTTTATAGTTGGCATCATTTTGCTAAAGCCAGAAGTTACAAATTCTGTAAGTTTGTACAGAAGTTACTCTGAAGCACACAATTACTGGATTTTAAACTGCCTGACAATATTATCCAGTCTTCTTAGAATACCTTTCCAGAGTAATTTTTTGATCCTGCAGATTAATACTTTATATAGAATATGAAATGCTGTTCTGGAACAAATTAGTAAGATGCAGCAGGTATAACATGAAGATGCAGCCAGATTAACACTTGGGGAAAGTTTAGGTAGTGTAGCTTCAAGTGGACTATTAAAAATGAACTTTTACTAACCTCCATTAAAAAAACAAACAAACAAAACAAAAAACAACCAAACTACAACAAAACAAAAACCACCACACAAACCCCAAAAAGAACAAAACCAAGCAAACCCAGAGTTCCCTATCCAATCTCATTTTAGAACAGAAGAATGACTTTTGCATCTTTTGTACTCTTTGGCAGGGAATCTATGAAACCAAAACATGTCCTGACTAATTGAACCTTTCCTGAGAAGGGTTCATAGTCATAAACTCATTTATAATGTGGTATGTGGGAGAGGGCAGTCGTAACAGTTTGAAAGTCAACAACATGGAATGTACCAACAGATTTATGAAGAACGACAGTAGCAGTTATTTACATGTTCAGGGTAGTTAATTGTTCTTTATGAATCAGGTTTCCCCTGTATAAATTAGAAAACTACAAAAAGTCAAAATTGGGAGAAATCTCCATTGTCTTTAAAAGTCCAAGTAAAAATATCTTTGCAAGCACTTTCCTTAGACAATAGCGTATTGCTCGTATAAAAGGTCTCTTATCCTATAGAAGTCCTGACAGAGACAGCCTTCCAATCCAATGCGCCCTGTTTCAGTCTGAAACAAAAGACATGTTTCAATTTATTATCTTTACACTAATGAGAAACTTTTCATTTAGAGTATTATTTATCACAGTTTAAGACAAAGGACACCTACCCTGCGAACAGCCACCAGATTGTTGCACACAAGCACTCCTCCTACAAATTCAGCTTGTATACCTTCTCGCAAGAGAACTTGCTTGAAGTCAGACAGTCTTGGCTCATTCATAAACACAGACTGATGTCCAAGAACCTTTAAACAACACACACAATTTTAATACTTCTGCTACTTAATACCTTCCATTTTTTCAAGTATCTCCTCATCATTGTGTTGGCAGCAGTGAGGCCTAGACTACAGGACTGAAAATGAGAAGATTGGGTCTATTTCTGTTCATCCGCAGCAAGACATTTCCAGGATAGGGAGCCCTTAGAAGTTATCCATTAAGTGAAGCAAAAGTTTCCTTCTTTGCTCACGTATTGAAGACAAATGGGAAGCTGTCATTGAAGAACCCTCTTCCAAGCTATGTTATGCCAGGCACAGAGCTGCAGTAAGCTGTACTGCTGATCAGTACATACTTCTATGATAACTGTCACAAATCTGAACAGACTTTAGTTGTCTCCACATTTATCTAGCTCCTAGAATAAATGACATTTAGGACTGTGCAACAGTATCTTAAAAAGCAATTCTAGGATTAGAAGGCATTGTAATCATTCAATGAAAATATAAAATAATATCTACTCACATGCAAAGTATTTTAATTTAAGAGAAGAAAAATTTATAGAACAGATTAATTTAATGAACTCTCAAGTCACTACTATAGAGGCAGAGATGTATGAATTTCAAAGATCTGTATCTCAAGTATAGGAAGTATTTTCCATAGCATCAACAAAACATAATGAAATCCAAGAGTGACTAAACATCATCTAATTTCCAAATCTGCAAGTACTAACTACAAATGCGAAACATGCTAATTAAAATCTTATCTTCACAAATAGATGGTACTGTATGCTCGCCGCTGTTAATGGGAATGCAAGAGATCATCCTTGCTGAAAAGCGTAAAACCTGAACAAAGAACAGTACCACGTTTAACAGAGAAAACTAAACATGAAAACCCAGTTTCGGTTAGGCTTTCATTTGAATAAGATCACAGTATCAACCTCTAAGCACTACAAAAAGACAAATGAATACAGAGCTCTTCAAAAGAGAAGTCTAGATCAGCAAAATTTCTGTACCTCATGAGGTGGCAGAGGTTCCAAAGTAGGAATGATCTCGCTCTCCTCACACATCTCCTTGTCATCGTCACCGAATAGACTTTTCATGGCCTTCTGTTGTGCAATGACACTAGAGTCTGAAGAAGGCATATCCACTTGCATCTCTAAGTCTTCATCTTCCCTCAGCTCCCCCTCTTCCAAAATAACTCCAGTATCCACTTTCGAAACCCGCATGTCCAGAACACCATCTATCCAAGCCAATTCAGCATCCTTGGCTTTACAGAACTGAAGGGAGCTGACAAGAGAATCTTTTAACCTGACCTGGGTTGCACAAAAATAAAAGTACTATTAGTTTGATGGAAAACATAGAGTTCCTATTTCAAGCTTTAAAAAGCTATGTGTCTCTCCACATAGGTTTGATTCTCACTCTTTTGGGGAGGAAAAGAGGGAACCGGTATCACCAAGGCAAGATGGTCTATACTTTCAAAACATAGTTTGTCACTACTCAACTTAAAAAGCAGTGGAAATCAATACCTTTTTTGTCTTGGTTAAAATAAAAAAAAGAACCTACACAACTGCAAGCTTGAGTTAAAAGGAATTGATTGCTTTTGCTGTAATTTTAAAACATCAGAAACCTTTTTTGTGGCCAAGGAGTTCCTCAGTTGGCCTTAGTAAATTTAAGGAAAGTTTCTAGAGATACATTTACATTACTGAACAGCAGTTCCAAATTTCAACCCTCCAAAAAAATTATAATTAATATTTTGTTGTAAGAAGGGATGTTGTAAATAGATTTTAAAGTGACAAAAACATTACCTTACCCTTATTGCTCTGGTGCACTCCAGGACTTTAACCCATTAAATAAAGCCCTACTCTGAAAGACTGTTATCCACAGGAAATTGTGTATGATCTCCATAGTAGAAATCAACGTTGCAACTGTATGAAGGATACTGCAATTAACTATCTACCTGCAGCACAATCCACTCAAAACACACCAGGTTTCTGATGCCCCACTCATATCTGTTATTTTCTAATTCAATGTCCCCAGTGTACTTCATCTGTTCAGAAAGCTCCAAGCAGAAAGACAAACTAAAGCTATGCAGAAGACTGGGTTTCCCCTTTACATGGGGAAAAAAAAAAGAAATTAAATATGAAACAATATGAATTTATTCAGCTAAATATTTTGTGAAAAAAAATCACAATCGTGTCATTTCTTACACACTAGCAACCCTCACAGCTTTAAAAAAAAAAAAACCAAACAAACCCCAAACCAACAAAAACAACAACCAACAAACCAAACACAGAAAACACTGCTGTTAAGACTGTCAGAATTGGATAATTTTGAGAAACTAGAACTTTCCACTTCCTACAGGGTAACAAAATTTTCCATGGAAAGAAGCAGAAGTACCTCTTTCAACAATTCTACTGATGTTTTTCCTATTAACTTTAAAAGCACAGAAGGAATAAAGGACTAATGCCTAAAGCACACGTGAGACACTTTCCTCTAAACAACTTCAAAAGTTGGAAAGGGACCACACACAATTTCCACATACTTCACACAAATTATCCAAGTGTTCTTATTTAGAGCTTAACGATGAAAATTAAATGCAATATATTAACACAGTGCAACACATTATCATAACCTCACTTTCCAAGAACCAAACA